CATGGAACAAAGTCAGGATGAAGTTTGAAATCCAGCCACTGCATATTAAAAACTGTCCTCTTATAAGCCATCTTCAAAATGTAGTTCCAGATATAGCCATACACAGAACCACCTGCCTGACACGAAGATGTTAGCAGATTTGTTTTCTGGCAAGTAGGAACTTTTGGAAGCTGGGAAAGTTTCACTTTCACTTTCTGGTTCCAGAAAGTGTAATGAGCAGATTGGCAGCAAGAAAGAATGTGAAGTTTAAATGCTTGCAGATCATTTCTGCAATCTAGAGAAGCACACAAGCCTCATTTGCAACCTTTATGCATGGGAGAAGTCAGGGAAGGGGGGGGTGAGAGAGCTGGTACTCTGTAAACTCCAGCAGGAACAAGCAATTACTTTACATGGTGCAGAGTAAAAAGTGCTAGTTGACTGTGAAATCCAACAGTGGCAAAACTCATTTGCAACTCTGTGCTGGGTTTAGCAGTAGACAAAATGTCCATTCCATACACAAGCATGATCCAAAAACATGATTATCTTTATCTGTAGGTTAAATGCAGTACTACCAGGTAGAGATGAAAATAGTTAGATGTTTAAAGTTTGTATCTTGCTAAATGTTTACACTAGCCTTGCTTTGCAAATGCTACAGGCAGACCTTGGAAATCATGCAGGGACAGAGCTCAACAAACACTTTAGGCTTGTTGCTGGGGGTGGAGCTGAGAAAAAGGTGGTGCTGGGAAAGGGCATCATTAAATTTTACTTGTATTCTGCTACTTCACTATTCCAGCTGCCACAAGAACAGATCATGCTCTTGCAGCAGCAGGTCAAAATCCACTGCTTGAATATATTTTAATCACAATTTCCCTCACTTCCTTCCTTCAAACCAATTTCCCTGACTTTTCCTGACCAATTTCCATTTCCCTGATTTTCCAGAAAGTGGCAACCCTGCATATGTTGTATCAACTAATCTTTCATGTTATGTCCACTGATCTTGATGAGCAACATTCAAATTAAGCCTAGCCTCCATTTTTGTCAGTTTAACTGGCTTTAAAATCAATTTAATTAAATTTGATGTTCAACAGCTATTTTTATAACAGAGACAGAGTGCACCACATTATTTCAGGGAGGTAATCTCCACATAAATTCCTTAAGCCTGCACGCTTTACTCAGCTTTCTAATTAAATTAAAGATAAATAATATTTTCTTGGCCTTGTTATTGAACCTACACATTAAACAAAAACTTAAAAAATATTTAAACTGTTCCACATTTAAACAAATTATGAAACCAGTGTCATGTTTTATTACAAATCTGTACGTTTTAACTTATTAGTCAGGAATAATACATTTCCAGTATGGCATTTGCGCAGCACTGATGCATTTAGCCCAGTTTATTCTGAAATATTTCCTTTCAAAACTACTTCTATAGGAACTCGAAAGACCTACTTGAGCTTCCTAACAGAGAAAAATGAAAAGAAAATACATGTGTGTCAAATTTAGGATTTTGCCATATGGCAATGGAAAGATCCTCTAGCCAATTTGGGAGGGAATCCTTCCCCACACAACATAATTCAGCCCACACAAAACAGTCTCTTCCTCTGTTGGCAGGGGGTGAAAGCCTTCGCGAATACAGTCTCTTCTTCCTCTGTGTAGTATTTTCGGGGGGGGGGGAACACAAGGATTGTTGTCAGAAGCAGGTAGGGAAAAAAACCACTTCTACAATCTAAGTTGTATGTGACTAAATCTGATTCAAGCCTGTTGGCAGGGGGTGAGGTGCATATTTGTCTGTGCTTTTGTGCTTGCCTTCATATGTACATACGAGCTCGGCATTTTTAAAAATAAGATGTTCACAGCTTCTTCCAGACAATCTGACAATACTGAAAGGAGTGGACAATTTGCATTTAGTCCTAAGTCCATGTCAACTTTAGGCTTGCATAGTCAACTGAATTTGTTAGGACTGCAGAGACATGGAAGATGCAGACACAGAGAATCAGAAGAATGCAGCCTCTTATTTGAATGGCAGTCAAATCTTAGGAAAAGTGAAATATAAATTCTTTTCATCTCCCATACTTTTCTATTTTTGGATGAATTAGGAAGAGCAATTTTATGCTGAATGCAGCACTTAACATTTAGACACTGACTGAGATCCAAACAACTATGAGCTATTTATAATGACCAGAGGCATACATTTTAATTACTGTACTTCAATAAGATATTGAACACTGATAATCGCCATTTAAAATTCCTTAAAGATACAAAAGGTGGAAGCTGTTTCCTTTTGGATTAAAAAATCCAGATTGCACCAAAAATTACATCAAGACACAAACTTCAATTCAAGTGAAAGCTAACAAATGACAACATTTTTGTTACTGTTTGAAAGGTACACTAAAAATTATATAAACATTCTATCTAAAATGATTTCTCTAAAGCCACATTATGAAACTTATACGTTTTGAAGTTGCACTAATAATCAAGTTAGAAATTTGAATATAAGTAATCTGTTTTTAAAGAATAAAGATTTAAGATATAAAACTATAACTTCTACAGTTTTATCTTTTTATTTATCTTTTTATTTTGTAACTTTTAGTTATTCATAAATTGTTTCCTCTTCCATGTTGGCTTCTTTTCTCAGATGGACTGTTGACATGATTTAATTTTCAGATTCTTCTGATGCACAGGTCCTTGTACTCGAGACACCACAGCTCTAATTCCCATATAACTTAGTTCAAAGGTTTGGTAGGTCACTTTACAATAACCTTTGCATTTGTCTCCAGCAACTGGTGATAATCATGGAACAAAGTCAGGATGAAGTTTGAAATCCAGCCACTGCATATTAAAAACTGTCCTCTTATAAGCCATCTTCAAAATGTAGTTCCAGATATAGCCATACACAGAACCACCTGCCTGACACGAAGATGTTAGCAGATTTGTTTTCTGGCAAGTAGGAACTTTTGGAAGCTGGGAAAGTTTCACTTTCACTTTCTGGTTCCAGAAAGTGTAATGAGCAGATTGGCAGCAAGAAAGAATGTGAAGTTTAAATGCTTGCAGATCATTTCTGCAATCTAGAGAAGCACACAAGCCTCATTTGCAACCTTTATGCATGGGAGAAGTCAGGGAAGGGGGGGGTGAGAGAGCTGGTACTCTGTAAACTCCAGCAGGAACAAGCAATTACTTTACATGGTGCAGAGTAAAAAGTGCTAGTTGACTGTGAAATCCAACAGTGGCAAAACTCATTTGCAACTCTGTGCTGGGTTTAGCAGTAGACAAAATGTCCATTCCATACACAAGCATGATCCAAAAACATGATTATCTTTATATGTAGGTTAAATGCAGTACTACCAGGTAGAGATGAAAATAGTTAGATGTTTAAAGTTTGTATCTTGCTAAATGTTTACACTAGCCTTGCTTTGCAAATGCTACAGGCAGACCTTGGAAATCATGCAGGGACAGAGCTCAACAAACACTTTAGGCTTGTTGCTGGGGGTGGAGCTGAGAAAAAGGTGGTGCTGGGAAAGGGCATCATTAAATTTTACTTGTATTCTGCTACTTCACTATTCCAGCTGCCACAAGAACAGATCATGCTCTTGCAGCAGCAGGTCAAAATCCACTGCTTGAATATATTTTAATCACAATTTCCCTCACTTCCTTCCTTCAAACCAATTTCCCTGACTTTTCCTGACCAATTTCCATTTCCCTGATTTTCCAGAAAGTGGCAACCCTGCATATGTTGTATCAACTAATCTTTCATGTTGGGGGGGGGGGAACACAAGGATTGTTGTCAGAAGCAGGTAGGGAAAAAAACCACTTCTACAATCTAAGTTGTATGTGACTAAATCTGATTCAAGCCTGTTGGCAGGGGGTGAGGTGCATATTTGTCTGTGCTTTTGTGCTTGCCTTCATATGTACATACGAGCTCGGCATTTTTAAAAATAAGATGTTCACAGCTTCTTCCAGACAATCTGACAATACTGAAAGGAGTGGACAATTTGCATTTATCCTAAGTCCATGTCAACTTTAGGCTTGCATAGTCAACTGAATTTGTTAGGACTGCAGAGACATGGAAGATGCAGACACAGAGAATCAGAAGAATGCAGCCTCTTATTTGAATGGCAGTCAAATCTTAGGAAAAGTGAAATATAAATTCTTTTCATCTCCCATACTTTTCTATTTTTGGATGAATTAGGAAGAGCAATTTTATGCTGAATGCAGCACTTAACATTTAGACACTGACTGAGATCCAAACAACTATGAGCTATTTATAATGACCAGAGGCATACATTTTAATTACTGTACTTCAATAAGATATTGAACACTGATAATCGCCATTTAAAATTCCTTAAAGATACAAAAGGTGGAAGCTGTTTCCTTTTGGATTAAAAAATCCAGACAGTAACAAAGGTTATGAACAGTTTTTTTTTTACTTTAATGACATCCCAATGATAGGCAATTTTAAATTAGATGACCACAAGTCAGTTACTAGAAGAAAATGTAAAATACATTACTAGAAGAAAATATAAAATACATACCTCTTGTGCAAGCTCTTGTGCATTGGAAATAAGAGGGTATGGAGGACTGGCTTTGTTCATATGTACAGTAACAGCATTATGTATCTTAAATGCATTTTGAAAGTCAGTGTTTTGTACAAGTTGTAAAATTAGAGCAATTTCCTCTTGACTTTGGGGATCTATTAGCGTGTGCTGGACGTGTTTAAGAGAAGATAGCAGCTCATCAACTTCTGAAAAGGAAAGGATACACGAGCTTCAGTGGATGTGAAACAAGCAACAGCAATGAGGCTATATAAATATTGATTTCTACAGAATAGCTCATCAACAGGGATTAACATGGAACAACACAAAGGAACCTGCTCTATGAAGAACTGGCCATAGTATAAAACAAGCAGCACAAATAAAGAAGCCCTTGTAGGAAGTTACAACTAAAAATTCTTTAGAATTGTGTTGTCATCATCTTTGGTAAACATGTGCAGTGGGATCATAATTTTCCTAGAAAAGGACACCTAAAACTTTCCAAACTTGTTCCTGCCCTCAGCCATCTAAAGCTGTACTACCTTCCTGGATCCCTAGACCCAGCTCAAACAAATTATTATGCAGCTCAAATAAACTACAGAAGGATAATCAGATAACCTTTCATGTAGTGTTGTACGTGCAGCCTGAAAATGTGGACATGGGTATTTAGAGGTGGACAGTGAAAGAAAACGTGGAGCCCTCCAGATGCTGAACTTCAAAACCCTTAAGTCTAAGTCACTATAGTCAACCGTCGGGCACAATAGAAACTATAATTCCATAATATCTGGAGGACAACAGATTCCCTGCCCTTGCATTAGATGAGCTCAGTATTTTGGAACCCTTTTCAGAGCCACACACACATATAAACAAAGCAGTAAGTCTTTCTGAAGTCACTGTCTTGACACCTTAGTATGTCAAGGAAGCATACAGTCATCCCTATAAATCTAATGTGGCTAGTAGAAGTACACTAACAAGCGCTACTCAGTCTGTGTAGGTCTTAGTTAAGGGGAGGTCACCTACCCCTCCCTGGAACATTACAACATCTGTATAAGGTACCCTACAACTGCTAGGAACTAGCTCAATAGGCAAAATTTCTAATATTCATGAAACTAATTACTGCAAACATAAAGGCTGCTTAACACCACTGTGTCACACACAGATGACTGTACAAAGGAAGGAAAATTATACCTGCATGTTAGCACTATTGAGATAAAGCCATAATTTTCTTTTCTGCCTAAAATGGCAAAGGATTTAATTAGGGAGAATAAAAAGAAAAGACACAAGCAACAAAAACCCGTATTATTCCACAGTGTATCATAAATTTGGAAGCATGAAAGGGTAAGATAAGAGAATATGAGTTCTTAAAGCCCTATTCTCCCATCTGAGCATATAAAACGTTTAATCTCTTTGAAACTGTTTCAGATGTCAAAATATTTTAGTATCATACTTTAGAGAGGTTTTTAATTAAGTAATAACTGGAATTAGGTGGGATGCACATTTTTTGTCCTAAACGGTTATTTTTCAGTAACTGATTTAGATTAAAAAGTATGCATCTCATGTAAATCCACATATCACTTGATTTAAACTGCGCGCATGCGCACACACACACAAATATATATACTCTCTCTGTGTGTATATATTGTGTGTGTGAGAGAGAGAGAATTACATATTATGGGATGCACAACAATACCCTTTTCAATTATAACAATACTCTAATTTTTGCCCTCCACAGTATATTAGAAATTCTTAAAACACATGTAAGGGCTACTCTGCTTCTATGTCTATTTTTTTCTCTTTTATTATCTTCCACCAACAAAGCAACTGGATCAAACTTCTTGTCCCTTTGTATACTCTGTATTGTTCTCACCAGTGACTCAAAAACCCTATAGTACAGGCCTCAACAGTGTCATAGTTACACTTCAGATAAAGCAGATGAAGCTACAGTCTGCATTATGCTACAATTAAAGTTATATGAGTGGACTGTTAGTTACTAACAATGAGTCTTATGCCAACTACTCAGAGATAAGCCTCAATTAATCCAGTAGCATTACTGTTAGGTAACTGTAATCTAACTGTATATAATTGTATATAACTGCAGCAAAGAAGGTGTATTTCCCTACACACACACACACACAGAGAGAGAGAGAGAGAGAGAGAGAGAGAGAAGCAGATAAAGAGGTTTCCACTGCCAAAAAAAAGTCCCTACAGGTCAGCTAAAGATATATTCCTTCTATCTTTGTTTCATAAATAAAAATAGCATTACAGTATATGTTTAATTACACATGTCATGCCTGTCTTTTACATAGATGCAAATAACTATGTAAAGAAAATGAATAAAATAAAATCACTAAATTTGATGAGACATATCACCTGAATTCCCATATTTCTGACTACAGTGACTAATCAGAATGTTGAAATTAATATTTAATTCCCATCATTACAACTCTAATGAAATAATTAGAAGCAGACCGAGATCCAAAGTTTTATATATAATATTCCACATACACACAAGAGCTTTTCAGCTTCTCTCTTGTTATGGCCAAGTGCACAGAAGGCAGGCGCTTCCAGAGCAGCATTTCAAGCACCAAGAAAAATACCGCCTTACCCATATTTATGCTGAAGTACACACATATCTGTATCCTAGTTACTGCTTTGTTAAAGGATGGTCTATTTAACAATATAGCAAGATTTCTCCTCAATAATATGGATCTTTTAAATGCCCTACCTGAAACTCCTTTTGCTTTTTGTTATGGGCCCAACTGCATTTTTTTCTGACTTCAGCAGCAACTGGAAAAGTATTCACTGTGTGAATCACTCCAAAGAATAACAGAGAATAAAAGAGATGCAGAATTGTAGGGGAGGATTGTTTTCAGCATGACAGGAAAGTAGTTTGGAAGGAGTGAAAGGAAATTATTGCTGGCTCTCATTAAATAAATGTTGCATGAGACATCTCTGGAGAACAGAGCAGCAACAGCCACTCTACTAACTAAAATACATTCTAGTTTCAGGTTCCAAAGAAGTAGGTGTTAATCTGTTTTCATGTATTTGTAAAAAATAAAAGGAGAACAAGAAAAAGATAGAATGAAAGGCAAACTACTTTGCATTTTTAAAACCAAAAGATTTATTTCAGTTTCATGGATCAAAAGTCACTCCTTGATAGTTCCGTTTTTTTATCCTCTATATTATTTGTATGTTATTATGAATCCCACAAAGTAACCTACCTGCACATTGAAAAGAAATCACAAAAATAACAAAGCTGATGAACGTGAATATTAGGGATGTGAAGAATTCCTGCAGAATTAATTGTTCTGGTCAGAATCACATCAAGATGCAACTCACACTATTTTCTTTGTCCCCCCCCCCAAACTATTTAGGATAAAGATACAGATAACAAAAGATGAGACAAAGCTGCTAATTAGCAGGTCCTAGCTTTTTTTGAAGGGACATGGTGGTGCTGCGGGTTAAACCGCTGAAGCCTCTGTGCTGCAAGGTCACAAGACCTGCAGTCGTAAGATTGAATCCATGTGATGGAGTGACTCCCCGTCGCTTGTCCTGGCTCCCGCCAACCTAGTGGTTCGAAAGCATGCAAAATGCAAAAATGTGAGTAGACAAATAGTTACCATCTTGGTGGGAAGGTAAATGGCGTTCTGGGTCTAGTCATGCTAGACAAAATGCTAGCTCTATGGGTTGGAAACAGAGATGAGTACCACCGCCTAGAGTCAGACACGACAGGACAAATTGTCAAGGGGAACATTTACCTTTTATTTAAGCTAGGACTAGTGTAAACAAACCAATGTCACTCTGTATATTATCTGAATCCTCAATTGGAGATAACTTTTGTCAACACATATATACAGGGGACCTGTATTTGCACTCCTTGTGCCTGAAGAAAATTTTGACTCACAAAACATGCTGAAATACACTGATCATCCACACCATTAAAACGACTGACACAGGTGAAGTGAATAGTATTGATTATATCATTACAATGACACCTGTTAATGATAGGGATATATTTGGCAGCAGGTGAACAGTCAGTTCTTGAACATCATGTGCTGGAAGCAGGAAATATGGGCAAGTGAAAAGACCTGAATGACTTTGACAAGGGTTAAATAGTGATGGATAGATGACTCAATAAAAGCATCTCCAAAACGGCAAGTTTTGTGGGGTGTTCCTGGTCTGCAGTGGTTCGTACCTACCACAATTGGTAAAAAAAAGGACAACTGGTGAACTGACATCAGGATTGCAGGCGCCCAAGACTCATTCATGCATGTGAGGACTGAAGGCTAGCCCATCTGGTGCAATCACGCAGAAGAGCTACTGTAGCCCAAATTGCTGAAAAACATAATGCTGGCCATGAGAGAAAGGTGTCAGAACACACAATGCATCACAGTGTGCTGCGTATGGGGCTGTATAGACACAAACTGGTCAAAGTGCCCACAAAGACCCCTGTCCACCACCAAAGCATCTTCAATGGGGATATGAGCATCAGAACTGGACTATGGAGCAATGGAAGTAGGTGCCTGGTCTGATGAATCTTGTTTTCTTTTAGATCAGGTAAATGATCTAAAAGTGTGTCATTTACTTGCAGAAGAGCTGGCAGCAGGATGCACTACGGGCAGAAGGAAGGTTAGCAGAGGCAGTGTTATGCTCTGGGCAATGTTCTGCTGAGAAACCTTGGGCCCTGGCATTCCTACCTAGAGATTGTTGCAGACTATGAATACCTCTTCATGGCAATGTTGTTCCTTGATGGTAGTGGGCTCTTTCAGCAGTAATGTACCTGCCACATTGCAAAAATTGGTCAGAATGGTTTGAGGAACATGATGAAGAGTCATTTTCCAAATTCCTCAATCTGATTGAGCATGGGATGTACTGGACCACCAAATCTGATCCATGGGGGACCTACCTTGCAACACAAAACTTAAAGGATATACTTCTAATGTCTTGGTGCCAGATACCATAGGACATGTTCAGAGGTCTTGTGAAGTCAGTGCCTTGACACATCAGAGCTGTTCTGGCAGCATGAAGGGAATCTACACAATATTAGGCAGGTGGTTTTAAGGTTGTGGCTGATGAGTGTAAATATTTGATTCTATAAAGAGTTGCTTCTTTCTTTCTTTCTTTCTTTCTTTCTTTGCCTTCTCTCACACACATTTTCCTTCCTTCTATATATTTACCAATGTTCTTGTTTTAGGACAACACAGCTTAGTAGACAACTTACTATGTTTCTTAAGCCCTATTTTTCAAGGTAAAACATAACAGTAAAAAACCTACATGCTGATAAGCACTATAGTAAAAAAAAGGGTGGGGTGGGGAAGAATACTTGCTTTATCCTTACCGAATAAAGTTTAAATTATAACCTTCTTGTAACATAAGATAAATCACAAAAACACATAACAAGAAAACTGGTGCATGTGAACATTAGGAATGTTAAATATTCTTGCAGAATTTGTTTTCCCTCACTAGACAGGGTGTCTCCACAGAGTGAGATAGACTACTGAGAAACTGCTGTCCCTTGCAAGCATGAGAACAAAACAGATTTTTCCCCACAAAATATCCCTGTGCAAAACCAGTGTCTTTTATTTTTTGATACATAGCACATAGTCATCAATCATGGAAGTATTGCCTAATTCCTCAGGAATGCAAAAACAATACAACTAATGCTTCTATTTTTTTTAATAAATACATTCAATAAAGTAGCAGCTTGTATTTTTGTGCAATTTTGATAAAAGTTGCTCTCCCCAAATGCAAGAACTCTGATACCAGCAGAAAGTACCTTGCCCTCTCACAGGTAAGAGGGAAAAAAGTGGGTTTTGTTGTTGTTCTTTTGTATGAGGAAGAGACAAACAAGGGTTTATCTCCCTGGTGAAGTGTCATTATTTAGAATTCAACTTTACTTACCACTGAGCAACAGTAATGCATTCACATGTAGAATGTATGGTTCACTCATTTAAGATTTTAGTCCTAGGAACCTATGTGACAAACTAGTGACTACATTGTTACAAACTACATTCTTGGGATATACTGTATCAGCAATCAGCCATTGTTCTTTTTGAAAGAACTACAAAATAAAAATAGTTTCTCTCCCTTTCCATGTCACAGATGTTAACAGAGTTTGACAGTTCTCTGAGCAAGCTCAAATTTTGTTTTGAAGTTCAGCAGAACTGTCAAATCTTGGACTGATGAATTCAAAAAGCAGAAAATAGGGGATTTTTACACAACACAAGCTTTCAGAAATGACTTATACCTCTTCAGTGCTCATTTCTTTTACCTTTTTGTAGTTTGAAACAGATATTCAAACAGAATTAGAGCTCCTCATAAGCATAACTGCTTTGATATATAAGAGCTGAGACCTAGTTAATATTTAATTTGAAAAATAGCCAAAGGTTGTGCGCTATTTAATCTATAAATTAGTTATCCTTTGGTTTATCATGTATACCCTCCCCTCCTTGATATAGGAACACAACAAAGCATGGACATTCAATATGATTTTAATGAACCCAAAACATGCTAACATTGGAGATCAAAAAAAGCAAAGCACTCAAATATGACTGGCAACATCAGCCCACATTAGTTTTAGACCTCCTGTATAGCAAAGTTTGGCAATATCTAAATGAAATCTTCCTGTCTTACCAAAATGGGAGGTAAACAATGCCATCTACCTACCTAAAATGAGATATTTTAAAATATATTTTAATATTAGATATAATACTGAAATACAGTATTGTATTCCATTTTGAGCTTAAGACTTTTTTTTGGAGACTCCTCTCTATACCATGTATCAATCTAAGTATCTGAGTATAATAATTCTTTAGCAAAAGTGTTGCAGTAGATTTGGTTGATACTGAAAGCTGTACTCCAACAATTACTTGACTATATGCTCTAACAAAATGAAATTGATTCCTGACTAAACATGAACAAGATTTGAGTTTTAGCTAAAATTTTAGCTAGGTGTTAATGTTAGTCTCAAAATTTGCTGTTGTTGCGTAATGCTAATAATGTTACAGAGCAACTGCAACAGACTTTTCAACCTCATGCACGCTACAGCTATGTATCTGCATTAATATCAGGCAGTCTCTGCAGTGTCAAAGCAGCACAATACTAATCTGTAAAACGACTTTATTTTCACAGGGTAGTGACACCAAACTTTGATAAAGGAGTGTGAATTCTTGTGCTGGAGATCCAGGTTCCACTGAAGATGCACTGATAGAGTACACACTGTACAAACTCTGTAACTGAGCTCCCAGATCTACAATCTATACATATGAAGGTTTGCATAATCAGGGAACACTTAAGTCTTTCTTGTTTCAAAGTCAGAGAAAGTTAACCATCCTACCCCAATAACCGCTGAAGCATACCACTGGGATTTATATAAATGCCTGGAAAAAGCTGCTTTGGTAAGTTAGGGAGACATACAACATTGATGACAAGGTTTAACAATTAAGTTTCTGAAGACAGAGATCCCTGCGCTCTTATAATCTTTGTTAAGACGGAAATGGGCATGTACTTATTAGCTTGTTTCAGCTTCAGAAGATTGAGAGTTAAACTAAATTTAAATGCTTATTTACATTGTTGTTTGCATTTAACAAAATAGAGAGCAGATAATTAGCAAATTGTAGTAACTATGGAAAAGAAATCCAATTTAATCTTCTGCTGTTTTGAGGATTAGTAATCACTCATATGAGAGACAATAACAAGTTTAATTATGGCAAGTTGGAGCCACTGTTTGGTAGGTGTGGCACAGCACATCTTTTGCTAACTTTGGCTTCTGCACAAGCTACAACCCTCCTGGCCTATTAACTATGTTCTAGCAACTTTCAGGTTAAAAGTACTATAATACAACTAGTGTAATGACCAATGTATCCTCTAGTTTAACCCCCACTGGCTGGGGCTCTGCCTCTCACAGACACAACTTTGCCCCTGTGTGTGCACGTTACTCTGCCCCCCCCCCGCACATAGAGTTCCGTCATGACCAGAACCTAACATGACTGCTGTGTGGAGGAGGAAGAGAGCTGCACAAAGGGAGGTAGAGAAGTGTACACATCCACTTTAGAGGGAACATTGGTAATGACATATGGCCTGTATCTGAAGATTGTTTAGCAATAGTAGTTAATCCCAGAGAGACTCATGAGACTGCTGGGTACTGATAAAATTTCATGAGAGTTTAAACAGTTCTATTGATTTAGTGTCATATATGTAAAGTTCTCCCAGTGCAAATGAGAATCAAGCGTTCTATTATTATAATGATTCAGACTGTTTTGAACTGTTAGTAACAATTAATTGTATTTTTTAGTATTAAGTTTTCGTTTAATTAAAAAGTTGTCCATACCTAGGATTTTCACAGCATGATGTGGGCTCTCCAAAATAACTCCTTCACCCGTGTCAAACATAGGATTGTCTATTCCAGTTTTGGGAGGAATTTGAGCTAGCTTCTTCAGACGCATAGAAGAATTAAGGTCCAGCTCCTGTTTTTTTCCTTCTTCTTCCCGTCTTCTCCGTAGGTCATCTTGTTGTTGTCGAATCCGCTCAAGCTGAGCACTCCGTCGTAGTGGCATCATCCTGGTGCCCAAATCACTAGGGCAATCAACAGCCATCTCTCTGTGCTTCTGAGGTTCCTCAAGAGGGGCAAGATCCACATTTTTTGTTTCACTGTCTGAATCTTCTGTTATGTGTCCATTCATATGAGAGGTTGTCATGGTTGTATGTTAAAACTGCACTGCTTGTCAGTCATAAAAGCTATTATATGGCCTATTTTCTTGAGAGTACAACTTAAAATCCATTATAATGTCAAACAATTCTTCTTATAAATTACCAAAAGAAAATGGAGTAGGCACACCTAGGAGGAAAATCAGAGAAAACACAGAGTTAGTGTGGAAGAAACTATTCCTGTATGTAAGGTTAGCACTATGTTCTGTTTCTAGCAGTAGATTTAGAATAAATACTGAAAGACACACAAATATTCATGTACTACCTCTGTAGAAAACAGGTAGCTGCTATCCAGTGGAATAAGCGAAAATAAAATCTTAAGCAGTGCCAATATAAATAATTACACTGGCAGAGGAAGGGAAACATCTGATCTTAACTGATGTTCATATGTGAAATTCATGCAGACCCATAAATGCCCAGCACTATACAGGCAATGGAGTAGCATGCACATTCATCTATACAGTCAATGTTCCCTGTAATTTTCAGTCCTGCTGGGTAGGGCTCCATCCCCTCACGCACACAACTCCCCCCCATGCGGAGTTCTGTCATAATCAGAACCAAAGGGGCTGGAAATGATCGCTGTGGGTGTGTGGAGTACTAGAAGCTTTGTGTGGTGGGGGGGTGGAGTTGCGTCTATTCACCATGCACCTCATAGGGAACCTTGCATACAATGCACTCATAACTGGATTAGGCTTACTATTGACTTCATAATTAGCAGTTTTTTCCTGGAAGATTTACTTTATAGAATAGCTAGTTTCTTCATCACTTAGTCTTTCCTATAAGTCAATAATCTTGCTCTAGGAAGGTACTGTTACCTTGTTTTTCCATGTCTCTGCAGATACATTGTTTTTCTCGAAGTTTTTAAGACTCATATGTCTTTGAAAACTACCCTAGTTCCTGAATTGTTTTTGTATTGCAAATTAACACTTTGGCAGCCCATGTCTAATTTACTGAGTTACTGTTACACACAAGAATAAAATAATTCAGTTTTGTTTTTTGTTTTTTAAAAAAGGTTATTTAGGGTTTTGTTATCACAATATGAAACAGCTTTGATAATTATAATCCGCACTTCAAATAGGAGATATCCTCCCCCCCCTTTATACCAGGAGTATCTAATTCTGAATGTTTCAAAATATTTATGTGCTCCACTTGGCAATAAAGGATATAGGAGGATGCATAATATACTACCAGATGTGTTTGTTGTTTAAAACTTTATTACCCAGTATACTGGCCTACTTAATCATTTCATTAATACTTAAAACTATTAAAGACAGACTGAACACAATGACCACTGCAATTTTTCAAGCTTAATAAAAACAAGTTTCTATTTTCACCACTTTATTACTTTTACTCCCTTCTACTTAAACATGAACACAGAAACTGGAGGTGTGCCCTGTTTATCAAACCATGGTCCTGACTTTAGCATTTTTTCTCTATTGTGGTTACTAAGCCTTTTTTTTACAAGCTGAAAATGTAGCCTGCTACTCGTGTATAACAAGATCACAATTATCATGCTTGATCAAGCTAACGTTCCATCTAGTCCAGCATTTCTTTTGCAGTATTAGTGAACCATGTGGCTGACAGGTCACAACCATGACCTGAAGGTGATGCTATCACTCATATTTCACCTGACATCTGCACACAGAGATATATCGCCTTTAGACACTGAGATACCATTTTTCCACCATGATATGCCTTCTATAAACGTGCTTGCCTGTCTTTAAAAGGCATATAAATTTCCCTGAAAACAAGACAGGGTCTTATATTAATTTTTGCTCCAAAAATGCATTAGGGCTTATTTTCAGGGGATTTTTTTTTCATATACAACAATCTACATTTATTCAAATACAGCCATGTAATCTTCTTCTGGTTGCTGCACAATGGTGAAGGGCGGGGTCTGACTTAAATGGGGCTTATTTTGGGGGTAGGGCTTATATTACAAGCATCCTGAAAAATCACACTAGGGCTTATTTTCACGTTAGGTCTTATTTTTTTGGGAAACAGGGTATGATAATCCATGCTGCAAATTTATGAGAAGCAAAGATGTGTTTGATACCAACATAGGCTTCATAGAATCTAATGAAACAACTGTATTTAAAACTATAGTGTGATGTGGCCAGAACTTTTTCAGCAAGCATCACTATCAACACTTTTAAATTAAATCTCCATTTACATTACAACTATAATCTCTAATGTCGAGTTAATTTTAATAGATTTAAGATTTTAAAAAACTTTTCCAGGACAGTCTTCTCTGAACAATGCTATCCAAAGTGACAATCACAAGAGTATTCCTTTATTATGTAGATCAGGGGTCATCAACCCCCGGTCCGTGGCCCAGTGCCGGTCCGTGGGCTTGCCGGAACTGGGCCGCAGATATGGATCTCCACCAGCCCCCCACACCAGGAGTGGGCAATTAATTTCTATAGGGTGTCCACACCACCTCCAAATGCAATAGAACAGGGGTCATCAACCCGCGGTCCATGGCCCAGTGCCGGTCCGTGGGCTTGCCGGAACTGGGCCGCGGATATGGATCTCCACCAGCCCCCCACACCAGGAGTGGGCAATTAATTTCTATAGGGGGCCACATGAAAAATTTGAACTGTGTTCGGGGGCCGAACCAACTTTACTTAAAAATAGGCCCCCATTAGTTGGGTAGTAATAGGCCCCCAATTTGTGGGTAGTAATAAGTCCCATTGGGTGAGGCCCTGCAGTGAACAAACTACAAGGCTGACATAGTTAATTCCCTAAACTTTTTAGGACTGGAGCGACGACTGGTGGACCGGACAGGAGCGGCTCGCGGGCCATATGTGGCCCATGGGCCGCACTTTGTCCAGGTCTGCCCCACACCCTCATGCAGGGGGCGTGTTATGCTCGCAGTGGGTGTATCACGCTTGCAGTGGGCGTGACATGCAGGCGGTGGCATGTCGCGCTCACATGCATGCGTGAGAGCACAACACACACACAACAGGCACAACATGCCCACCGCATGAGCATGGGGGTGCCCCTCCAACCCCCCCGCTCATGGAACTCACTCCCCCCAGCCGGTCCGCAGCCCCAAAAAGGTTGGGGATCACGTAGATGACTAAAAAGTTTTTATCAAGGTTTATAAAGTGTCAAAACATTACACTTGAAAGTATCCCAAGAGTTTATACTTGAGCCAAAGATAAATTTTTAATTTGTAGAATGTTAAGACTTAAACCACTACAGGTTACACCTCTTAAGAAACAGCATTTTTGTCTTGCTTCTTAGAAGAGTTTTAGATACAGTATATCACATTTCATAAATATTTTAGTGTATCTTTTCATGTGACAACACTGAAGAAATGACACTTGGTTACAATGTAAAGCAGTGAGTATACAGCTTATATAACAGTGTAAATGTGCTGCCCCCTCAAAATAATGCAACACACAGCCATTAATGTCTAAACCGGTGGCAACAAAAGTGAGCACACCCCTGACAATGTCCAAATTGGGCACAAAGTGTCAATATTTTGTGTAGCCATCATTATTTTCCAGCACTGCCTTAGCCCTCTTGGGCATAGAGTTCACCAGAGCTTCACAGGTTGCCACTGGAGTTCTCTTCCACTGCTCCATGATGACACCACAGAGTGGGTGGATGTTAGAGACCTTGCGTACCTCCACTTTCCGTTTCAGGATGCCCCACAGATGCTCAATAGGGTTTAGGTCTGTAGACATGCTTGGCCAGTCCATCCCCTTTAGCCGCAGCTTCTTAAGCAAGGCAGTCGACGTTTTGGAGGTGCGTTTGGGGTCATTATCATGTTGGAATACTGGCCTGTGGCCGTCTCCGAAGGGAGATGATCATGCTGTGCTTCAGTATGTCACAGTACATGTTGGCATTCATGGTTCCCTCAATGAACTGTAGCTCCCCAGTGCCGGCAGCACTCATGCAGCCCCAGACCTCGACACTCCCACCACCAGGCTTTAACTGTAGGCATGACACACTTGTCTTTGCACTTCTCACCTGGTTGCCCCCACACACGCTGACACCATCTGAACCAAAGAAGTTTATCTTAGTCTCATCACACCACAGGACACGGTTCCAGAAATCCATATCTTTATTCTGATCATCTGCAGCAAACCGTATGCAGGCTTTCTTGTGCATCATTTTTAAAAGAGGCTTCCTTCTGGGACAATAGTCCTGGAGACCAATTTGATGCAGCGTGCGGCGTATGGTCTGAGCACTGACAGGCTGACACCCCCCCTTCAATCTGTGCAGCAATGCTGGCAGCACTCATACGTTTACTTCCCAAAGCCAACCTCTGGATATGACTCTGAGCACGGGCACTCAGCTTCTTTGGTCAACCACAGCGAGGCCTGTTCTGAGTGGAACCTGTCCTGTTAGACGACTGTATGGTCTTTGCCACCGTGCTGAAGCTCAGTTTCAGCATTTTGGCAACATTCTTATAGCCTAGACCATTTTTATGTAGAGCGACAATTGGTTTTTTCAGATCCTCAGATAGTTCATTACCATGAGGTGCCATGTGGTAATTCCAATGACCAGTCAGAGAGACTGAGAGCGAGAACATCTACTTCCCATTCACACCTGGGACTTGTGACACTAAGGGGTCTCATGACACCAAGGAGGGAAATGAGCTACTTGGCCTCAGTTTGGATATTGTCACTTAGGGGTTGTACTCACTTTGGTTGTCAGCAGTTTAGACATTAATGGCTGTGTGTTGCGTTATTTTGAGGAGGCAGCACATTTACACTGTTATACAAGTGTATACTCACTGCTTTACATTGTAGCCAAGTGTCATTTCTTCAGTGTTGTCACATGAAAAGATATTCTAAAATATTTATGAAATGTGAGGGGGTATACTCCAGTGATATGCTGTATATTCCCCAAGCATTATGCACAAATATTATGGTTGTGTGGTGCCAGGGGTCAGGAGTTCAGTTTCCTACTGAGTCTTATAGAAGAGCCAGTCTGCACAACCATGGATCTGATCCTAGACTGCACCAAGAAGAAGGGGATGTTAAACCACTTCTGAGTACTCTATAACTAAAACATCCTGGAAAGGGTTGCCATCTCTTCTCTCCTCACAGTATGTAATTAAATTCAGCACATTTCTTCAAATAGTGTAGAAGGATCTTTAAAAGATTGCAAATAACATTTTATATATCTAAGCAGCATATATCAAGATATACCAAATGAATCCTTGTATATAAATATTATTCAAAAGGCCACTGCACTGCCATAAATAAGCTAGTTGGACAGCTCAGTGAGTTAAGTTTTGACTTCACAGTATGTAATTAAATTCAGCACATTTCTTCAAATAGTGTAGAAGGATCTTTAAAAGATTGCAAATAACATTTTATATATCTAAGCAGCATATATCAAGATATACCAAATGAATCCTTGTATATAAATATTATTCAAAAGGCCACTGCACTGCCATAAATAAGCTAGTTGGACAGCTCAGTGAGTTAAGTTTTGACTCTGAAGCCAAAAGATAAGTTGTTCAATTCCCCAATATACAGTGGTGCCTCGCTTTACAATTGCCCTGCATTATGACGAATCTGCTTTACGACGATCTTTTTGTGATCACAATTGTGATCGCAAAACGATGGTCTAAATGGGGGAATTTCGCTTTGTGATGATCGGTTCCCTGCTTTG